CAGCTACCCTATTCACACTCAGGTCCTCATGCACTGGCTCCACGCTTCCCACCCATGTTCTGATATGCCCTTAACTGCCTGGATTTCCTACCAGGATGTTTTCTTTTTGGTTGCCTCCCTCTTAGAGTTTCAAGGTGCTGCACAACGTTAATAAGTTAGGAGGCCTTAAAACCTGTTGCAGAAATGCCACCCAGGTCACTTAATGCCATATTAACATGTCCATTCTGCATCTGTACAGGTGGATTGTGCCATTCCTACGGGCTGTGGACCACAGGAATGAAGTGAGTAAAAGTGAGTAGGATCAACAGGTTGACCATTGCCACAGGATCTTTCGGTGGCTCTGCTGCATACATTCCCCTCTGCCCTGCGTTATTCTGCCTGTTTGAGAATGAAGTGGCTACTCACTGGCTGAAAAACAGGTTTCTTCACTTTGTTCATCTGTAGCGAACAGTCAGAAACTCCCGAGCTCCTCCTGGGGGTAAGAGCTAGGGGATGGCCAGCTGGTGCCAAATTTTCCTCCTCCAGTAGCTCCTTCTGAACAGAGAACATAGCATCTTGTAGCTGGCGAGTCCATGCTCTGGCATGATTGGCATCTTCAGGGTCCCTCTTCCTGGTGTTCTCCTCTGGGGCCTGGGTCACTTCAGTGTTGGCTCCATAGAAACCTCTGGTGCTGTTGGTGAAACCTTTGCCCACATTGACCACATGGACTTTCTTTCCAAATCTCTTCTTCTTCTTCCTGGTCTTGTTCTGGAGGAAGAGGCAGGTGAAGACCTGCTTGAAACGCTTGCGGAAATGCTTGGAGATGAGGGCATAGACAATGGGGTTGAGGCAGGAGTTGGCATACGAAAGGCAGTGGGAAGCCAGACGGCAAACATAAGTGGCTCGGTTGAAGGGGAAGTGGCCAAACCAGAAGCACAGGATGACGAGGTGGTGGGGCAGCCAGCAGAGGCAGAACAGGATGGCCACAGCAACAATCATCTTGGTGACCTTCCGCTTGGCCTTCCGGGACTCTGAGATCCTTTCTATGGGACCTACAGAGGTCCACAGGAACTTGATGGTCCTGGCATATGCCAGGCTCACAACGGTCACAGGCAGAAGGTATCCAAAGACAAACGTGAGGATGTCCAGAATCTTCCGGCGCTGGTCCTCCCAGATAGGGACACAGATGGGCACCCCGTGGTAATGGACAATCTGGTAGTAACTGAGATAAGGCCCTGCAAAGAGCAGCGACAGTGACCAGATTGCTACAATGGCCATTCCTGCGTTTCGGGAGGTGCGGAGATCCCGGGACTTCAGTGGGTAGCGAATGGCCAGGTACCTGCCGAGGAGGAGGAGGAGGAGGAGAGACCAAACACAACATGGGTGAGATGAGGTATCGCTCCTGCCACCTGTGCACCCTTTCCCATGCAGCCTCCCATCTTTCCCCCTCCCCACTTCTTGGTAGGTGAATAGAGACCAGGGTCATCCCAACAGCAGGTCTGGGATCTCCGTCATCCAGTCTGCTGTGCTAGCTTGGGAAGGTCATACAGCATGCCTCTTGAACCAGGGAAGAGAAGGACAGGAGCAGGACTCAGAGCCTCCTTGCTTCTCCTGTGGTGTGTTGCTGCCCTGGGGCTTTTGCTGTTTTGGTTTTACATGGTGGACACCAAACCTAAGTATGTGTCTGCACTTCTCCTTCCCAAGTGAGAGCTGGGTAACCAGGCCTAGAGGTTGATTTTGTGCTGGGAGAGGGCATGGGGAGCTGGGAATGGTGGCTCTGCTGGTCCTGCCTCTGGGGACATCCTAAGTTCTTCTTACAGGACACTCAACGTGGTAAGGACTGGCCTTTCTCCCACCCCTTAGCTCAGAGGTGGCAAACACATTGTACCTGCGCTGAGGGACTCATAGGGAAGAGGACACTTACCTGTCAATGGAGACAGCAGCCAGGGTGAAGCTGCTGGCGTACATGGTGAGGTAGATCAGGAAGTGCACAGCCTTGCAGGCAAAGGCCCCAAAAAGCCACCCATCCAGGGTGTAAATGGTGGCCTGGAAGGGGACGCAGCAGATGATGAAGCACAGATCAGCCATGGCCAGGTTAAGGATGAAGAGGTTGGTGGTGTTAATGACTTGGCCGTTCCGCAGCAGCACGGCCAGCACCAGCCCGTTCCCCACAGTACCCAGGAGGAAGATGAGGGAGAAGATGATGGGCACAATAATCCCTGCTGCTCGCAGCTCTGGGTTGTTGGAAGAGGCGTTCCATCCCCCTGGCATCTGCCCATCTGACCATGGGGACCTGTGCGGGAGAAAGAGAGACACAGCACCTATGCATGGCTGTAGGCATGTGGGTGATGGCTGTTGTGGACCACAGTGGCCACCAGAGCTATAGCCCTAAAGTGCCTGACCCCAGCCTCTGTTTGATGTCCACATTTCTCCCAGAGGTGTCAATCCCCATCAGCTGGTTAAATGATGACATCAAGATCCTCGTGATGTCTCCAGCAAGAATGCTGTTGGGATCAGTAAGCCCACATCTGCCCGGCTAGGGTGGAGCTGAAGTCCTTTTCTCCTGCCCAGATTCACATCCCCACCACAGTGTCTCCTTGCTCCCAGCCCCCTGGAGGATGCCCTGCCCTGCTGCTTGGCCTCCCTACGATTGTCATATAATCCCAAAGCTGCTAAACCTCTTGGGACTGTTTGCTTTGGCAAATCAAAATCCCAGCTGCTGTTTAACAGGCCATGGGGAAGAGGGCTCCCCTGGGCAGTGAGTGGTCCTGGCACACTCACCCCAGGGCTGTGCATCCTCTGGCAGCAGGGACATGATGCCTGGATCACAACCTGCAGCAGCAGCACCCCACCACACTCCCACTCCCAGGGAAGCTCCTTAAGCTGGGACCACCTCCAGCCTGGAGCTGGCTGCTCCTTGTTCCCTGTGTTGTAGTTATGCTCTGCAGAGGAGAGACAACTAAGGGTGCCTTTTCCTGATGCTGAGAGGTGGTCTCAGGTTGGATGGTGGCAGCTAGGAAAGGGTGGGGTGGGGCGAGAGACCTTGTAGCTGCCTGACACACAATACGATGATCATTGTGAAGGAGCGGATTATTACCGCAGTTCAAGATACTGTGGTTTGCTGCAAAACTTCCTCCAGCCCTAGCACTGTGCTCAGGTGGAGAGCTCCAACAGCCTATCTCATAGCGAGCCATGTTGTGCTATCATTAGAACAAATTGTCCTTGGCTGAGCAGCAACCAAGAGGGAAAGACACCATTATCTAGCACTGTTGACATGCAGTTAACTCTTCTTTTGATCACGCAAGCTCCTTCAACCCATGCTCCCCCACTGCCCGGCTCACACCACTTCTCCTTCCCAGTTGCCTCTCTATATCACACAGAAAGGTCGTCCCTACCTCTCTGGCTCTTCAGTCCCCTCTGGCCTACCGGTAACTATTTGGCTTCTCCTGCCAGTCCCGTGGGATCTGCTTGCTCAAGCAGAGGACCCTCATGTCCCTCTGGGCATGCACCTTGCATGGTATCACTGCTCAGGGAGCCCGAGGCCACCTCTCATATTTGGAAGCTGGCACTCACCTCCGAGAGGAAGGGCCTGCAGCTTCGCAGCTCGCTGGGGGAAGCTCCTGTCCAGCCCAGGCAGTGGTGGTGAGGAGGATGCAGAGTTTGTCCAGGCAGCGCCGTCACCCTGCCCGGTGCTCCGCTGCCTCCCCCTGCCTGCCGCCGGCTCTGCTCTCTCTTCTGGCTCCCGCACGCGTCTCTCTCCTGCTGGAGATCCTTTTCTCTCTCTGTCTCCCCCTTTTCCCTCCCTCTGCTCTTGCTGCTGATCCATTGATCTCTGTTGGGTGTTTTTTTCCCTCTCCCTGAGGTTGGATTTGGAGTTAACTCCTCTCTGCCCAGCCTTCAGCAATCTCAGCTGCTCCCTGCTCCACTGAGGAGGGGGCAGTGCAGAAAAAGCCTGATGCTCTCTGGTGTGAGCAGGAGGATGGAGAGGAGAAGGGTCCCATGGGCCCCGGCACGCCTTGCCAGCACCCCTCGACACTGGGTGTTCAGGACATGTTGCCCAGCACCTCTGGGAACATGAATATCACACCGCAGTGAGCCCGGCCCCTGCCCAGTCCTTGGGATATGGGTCTAAACCCTCTGGAACACGAGCATTAATTGCTATGACTAGCTGTTACTAACTAATAGTTAGCAGCACAGCACAGAGGAGACCAAGTTTCTCCCACAATGCCTGACCTGGGGAAGGAGGGAAAAGCAGATTTTGGTTTCCATCCAGCCCAGGTCTACCATCCACCACCATTGCCTGGGCACTACAGCGTGGGGAGGGAGGACAGGCCCTCCAGGGAGGCCATCTCCAGAGGTTCAGCCCTGGGACAGCACGCGTGCTCGCTGATGTGCTGAGAGGCGACAATGACCCACGACTTCCTGCCCTGCCATCGTGTCCATACCCCCAGTGGGACCTGTGCCCCACGGGCTTCTAGGTGTGTGTAGGACAAGTGTGGCTACAAGCAAGACCTCCACTGGGAAGCCTTTACAAACGATGGAGCAGGATGCTGAGGAGGAGGAGGAGGAGGCACTGACCCCTTCCCCTTCACAGCAGCCCCATGCCCCTGTCGGTGGCACACCTCAGCTAGCAGGAAGGACAATGTGACCTTTCGTCCCCGCCTG